GAAAGTGCCTTTTTCACTTCTCTTTAAATTACTGGGATTGTCATTCTGCCTATTCTTGCTCTGGGACTTTGTATTTCCCTGCATTTCTGAACTGTGTGTCTACCTGTCAGGAAATCCTGAAAATAGGTAAAAAGAATAGGTTTATGACAAGTCTGCAAGGACAGCCTATCTTAGAAAACAAAACAAACTATTACTATAGTTCTCTTAGATCCTTTAAAACCATACCTTGATGACTAAATAAGTAACCAGGAGGTAGAGCCCACTCCATTTCGGTCTGTTAGCTGCATAGAACAAAAGAAAGGCACTTTACCATGTCTTCTTTCAATGACTACTTTTCCTCCATTTAGTCAACTTTTTTGAATGCCTACCATATACCCAGTCAGGATGGTTAGACTTTGTCTCATAATTCAGGCATATTGTCAGGAAGGACCAATCATTGGAGAAACATATCATATTTGGTAAGGTGGAGGGTCAGAGAAAAAGAGGAAGACCGCCAGCAAGATGGATTGGCAAAGTGGCAGCAGTAATGGGCTCAAGCAAAGCAATGATTGTGAGATTGACCCAGGAATGGGCCATATTTCATTCTGTTGGGCATAGGGTCACTATGAGTTGGTACCAACTCAATGGCACCTAACAACAACCATATACCTGTTCTGTCTCTGCCTTTAAATGGCTCACAGCATAATAGAGGACAATATGGTTGACTATTATATAATGTGTTTAATAGGGTGAACAGGGGTATTTGTGAGAAAGGACACATAGAGGTGGAAGCAGTTTTTTTGTATCAGAATTTTAGGGAAAGGTTCAAGAGTAGGCAATATTTAAGTTGGTTTTTTAATGATCAGTAAATTTTTACCAACTCAAAGAAAAGAAGAGAAAATAGAATTTAAAGGGCACAGAACAATGTGTAAAATGGTGAAAACACTTGTCATATTTTTGGAAAATATAACAACATAAAAGCTATCCTGAGTTTTTAGTAGACCCTTTGCTTGGTTGATGTATACACCCATCCTATGTAACGGTTATGTTTGTAAGGGCTCTGTTTAGGGTTTTTTCTGTTCTGCCCCAAATCATGAAAATGCTTTTCATGTCTCAAAGGCATAAGGCAAAAATTTTTGAAACTCTTTCTCAAGACTCTCTCCAAGGATAACCCTTGTCTATTTCCACAGATGGATCTTAGCCAACTGCAAGGATTTCCCAGATTTTGAATTTGGTTGGTAGTTTATGTTGTTGTTGTTACTTATTGCCAAGTCTGTTCTGACTCTTAGTGACCCCATGTGTACACTGTATAAATGTTCCACAGTAGTTTTGCAAAGTTGTGACCTCTCAGAAGCAGATGGTCAGGCCTGACTTCTGAAGGGCCTCTGGGTAGTTTTGAACCACTATCCTTTTGGTTAGATATTCTTTACTTAACCATTTGTTTTCCCAGGGAATTCTATAATGCTTTTCAATTAATTAAATAATCTGATTAAAAAAAAAAAAAAAACCTGAAAAATACTTCGTCACAAGATGATAATGCCCATTATTTTTATGGTGTTTTAAAATAGCTATGTTGTTGTTGGGTATCCTCAAGTCAATTTTGACTCACAGCGACCCCATGTGACAAAGTAAAACTACTCTATTTCACAGCCCACCAGAAGCCCTATACGGGGTTGTTACAATTCAGAACTGACTCAATAGCACTTAATAACAACAGCAATCTTTACTGAAGGAGTTCTGGTGTAGCACTATTGATAAGCACTGGACTGCTAATCACAAGATTGCCAGTTCAAACCCATCAGCAGCTCCTCAGTAACCCTCTAGAGTCAGATTATTTATGAGTCAGAACTGACTTGATGGCACTTAACAACATCAACAACAATATCAACTGAAGCAGATATCCTGGTCTTTCTCCCGTGAAGAGGCTAGGTAGGTTTGAAACTTTGGCTTAGCAGCTGAGCACTTTTATTATATCTATTATATCATCAAGGCTATTAAAATATGGCTTCAGTGCTTAGTAAGTACGTGGTGTATGCAACTTAAATTTATGAACTGCATAAATGTCGTATTGCAATGTTCCAAAAAAGATGAAGAGGGGAAAATTTTTCTGTTTCTGAGCTTGAGATTTCATAAATAATTGCTATAAGTAATTAGATTTAAATACAATAAGGCTGGATGAGCGCCTCATATGTCTAGTGGTTGTATTAAAATTATCCATGATATGTGTGTAATAGATGGCATGATATGTGTGTAATAGTTCCTACATCTATATCTGCTTTTTCTTACTATAATGTTTTGTTGAAAAAGTTATTTTGGTTTGCATAAATTATATCCTATTTATCTTTCAATGACTTTTACTAACATCAGTTAGCCTCAAAACACAATCTGTCTGCTTCTTTTTGTTAGCCATACTAGATACATAACAGGAGTCCTGGTGTGGCGCTGTGGGCTAATGTGTCAGACTGCAAAGCCGTTTGAACTGCAAGGTCGGTGGTTCAAGCTCACCGTCTGCTCCTTGGAAACCCTATACAGTGTCGCTATGGGTCAGAACCAACTTGATGGCACTTAACAACAACAAATACATAATACAGCTTTACTACATACTTTTATCTGTTTGCTATACATTTATTTTTTAAATGATTATTTAATATTTCATATTAGGTAGTTCATTAGATTACTAATAATACCATATTCATACTTATTAAATAGATGCTTTAATCACATGTTTTGTGAATGGTTAAATCAACAAACTCTGGAAAAGACAACTCAAATCTGTTGTCCCTCCATAAAAGTTTTAATTTTGTAAAAACAACCTTTAAATGCTACTGGCCTTATTGCCAAATGAGTGTGTGTTACCCTTGCCTTCACTGCAGCGCTACCAGAGAACAACTAAAAAACCTACATTGAGAACTTTCTGAATTCCTCTCTCTCTAGGTGAATATAGTCAGAATGAAAGAAAATGGGGCAATTTACTGAAGGTTAAATCTTCTAAATGACATCCACCTAAAAACATGCAGGGGAAATGGTTTGGGAGGCTTAAATTATCATGTAATTGCCTTAAATCTCTGGGTTGCTTTTATGAGTAGACACAACTTTATCATATCGAACTGACGATTCCACTTTAGGGAATTAGGGTTGTTTGTATATCTACTCTCAACCCTGCACATCACATATATGTTCTACACAATTCACATCTTAGAAATATCCCACAAACCTCAGTGGAAGAAACTTCCAGAAGTTGTATTTTGCATTAGTGACCTGTCTGTGGTTTTCTACCCAGTAACCATCGTCTTTCATCTTGTTGTCAACATTTTTAGTCAGAAAGTACATGGAGGCTTTTTAGGTGAAAAAGCCAACATCGGCTTTTCATATGCCGACGTCTCGCCTTGCGCTTTTGTTCTTGAATATTTGAGCATAGAGTGGCCTTTCAAGATATATTTGTTACTAAAATCCAGCTGATTTCTCTTGAGAGTTTTTTTGTGTTTTTGTTTTCTCTAAGGCCTCAGACAGAAATGAAAGGAAAGATGAGCACTGTGACTGAACCCTATCTAATTCTTGACTAAAAGAAGTTTTCCAAGTAAACTTCAGTTTATGATTCCTTAGAGTTATATGGGTGTTACTAGGCTAACATATGCGGGGAGATAGTATCTGAAGCACCAGCTTTTAAAAAATACTTTTAAGCACATTTTAAGAGTTTAAGATTGCAGAAACTTTGCTGACACTGTGTGTTGCCCGCCCTTGCCACCCCTCCCCAAACTGTATTGCAAATAAACCTTTTGATGTTTTAAAGGTTTTTCTTTGGCAGCAAAGAAAAACACTCTGGAAAGTTATATTTAGTGAATTTGCCGGTGTATAAATATCCCTAAGCTAGTCTGTTATCCTATGGCATCTGGAAGAAAGGTGCTATTGTTTTAGATCTCATGATTGAAGTATAGAATAATCAATTCAGAGAGACCTTGAAGGGAAAGATTCACTCACATGTGCTGTGAAAACTTGGAATCTCGGAGTAATTTTTAGCTTTCTTCAGATGAAGAGACATAGATTAGTTTGTTTCAGTACTTTATACAATAACCTTGGTTCTCAATCATGCTATATCCAAGTTATAGTATGAACTATAATTTGTATCTGAGCTGATTAACTTTAAATTTTCTAGGAAACTGCTTTTTTTTCTGCTGTTACTTTGCTTTCTTTCTGAGTGACGATAGCCGGGCAGCTATTTTGTCTACAAGTGCCCTGGCCACAGGCTTTCTGCTGCAAAACCCCAAGCTACATGAGAGATGCATCATCAGAGTTCGGTCTGATGAAAATGCTCCATAAATGATCCAAAGCACCTCTCCATCTCTTACAGTGCCATATCTGCTGACCTTCTCCAAGAAAAATCACTGTAATTTCAAAAGACCATGATAGATTCGCTAGAAAGGAATTTGTGCTTATACACAGACATATGCTTAGCTAAGAATAAAGTAAAAATTAAATAGAAAAGTACCTTTGGTATTATTTGAACATTTTCTCTATTACCTTATTCAATAGCATTGAGTAAGAGCAGCTGTGTCTTATGGCTTTTCACCATGAAGTGTTCAAATGTGTAAGGCGGTTAGCTTTAAAACGCTATGAAAGTATGGGTAATAAACTGCCTACTTTTTGTCTACTGAAACTTCCCTGAGATTTTGTTTGTAGGACTCAGCTGCATATACAGACATGATGGAATTTGGTTTGTGAAGGACCTACAGAAATTACCCAAATAATTCAGATTTTTAATGAATAATACACAGACATGCACCTGCTTCAGGGACTGCATAGATTAGTTTTGCGAACAATAGCAAATCCCCTTGGAATTCAATTACATGGCTTCAGAACAGAAAATAAAACTGGCTATACATTTAGAAGTGATATCAGCAAAGTTGTAACTAGTTCCTGGATCTAACTTTTCCTGAGAATTAGGTTGTTTCAATTTGCTTTGCTTCTGTGAGACTTATTATAAAGCCATAATGTACTACTGCTCGTCTCTTCTATCCTTGCAGCTGGATCCACTTCCAGAAGATACTCTTCACCAAACCCCAAATATGAATGCCGTGATTTCCTTACAGAAGACCATTGAAATTCAAAGTATGTCTTAAAATTATTTTTTAAACTTCTAATTAGGTACAAATAATTAAATTTATATTGAGAATTAGAGCATAAATGAACATATGAAATTATAACTTCATATATGAAGTTATAATTTTCACATGTTGTAATGTGCTGAAACCTAAATGGATTATTGCACTGCCCTTACTCGGCAATCTTATCTTAAAGACATAACACCCTCTATGTTTAGAATCTTATTTTCCTCATATTTCCAAATGCTTGGATGTTTTGTTGCTACTGCTTAGAATTTACCCAGAACAATGAAATAGATATTTAACTAAGGGTAAGTTATTTATCTTGTAAAAATGTTGGGATTCAGCAATTATGTATCAGTTTTAAGTTAGTCAGGAGGGAAAAAAAAGATAATGAGAAAGTTTCACTATTTGAAAATTCAAGATAAGAAAGCAGAGAAAGTCAGAGATTTAAACAAAAACAAAACTATCCAGTGCCCTTTAATTGCTGTTACTTCATCAAGAGTTACTCATTTTAATAACTGAACAGACAATACCGAAAATACAAGCATACAAAAATCAACTACAAATTAGCATGAAAGTTAGCATGAAAGGGAAAAGCAGTTGCAAAGTGAGATATGAAGGGGAATCGGGAATATCATTAACCGTGCTACTGTTTTGCAGAGGAATTTTTAAAATACCAGCCAGAGAAGCCACTCACTGCTAGTCTTCTATGAATCACTGTTTTTGCTTGCTCTGCATTGCTTTGGAGATATGGGTGTGACTGGGATTCTAATAACCACTCACATGATGCTGGGAATGTTTATAAATCATGTCATACATTAACTCAAAGTAATCCCTCACTTTACTCAGTCTCACCCATGCCTGGACTGAGAAATGCAGGTACCCAATGAATAGTTAGTGACTATAGGTCATAATTGGAATAAGTTCTGAATTTCCAAGATTTCAGAGAACAGAAAAACAAATGTCTAATATTGTAGATGAATGTCTCTAAGATAAGATTACAGAGATGAAGAAAGGAGGGCTGGAGAGGATTTCATAAATGTGAGTACAAAACCCTGTCATCATTGTGCTGACTCTGTCTCACTTCCACTGACATAGATCAAGAAACTCTACTGCATGTCATTCCAATCTTGAAGTAAGGTATCTTGAAGAGATCTTTGACAGCCTTCTTTTATTTATCCAATGCCCCCGTTCAGGTCATAAATACTATAAAAATATATCTGTCGTTATGTACCTTATTCTTGTTTTCCACCCTGAACCTTCTTTTGGCATTGTACACATTAAGCATCATCAGTAGTTACTGCTCCTGTGTCTACTCATTATCTAACTCTCAATAAGTATTTTCAACATTACATGTTGATCAGCTCTCAAGGCACCAATGATATGAAGAGTATTATTATTATATGACAGCATAGTGGCTCTGTAGGATAGTCAGTGGATTGCAAACTACAAAGTCAGTGGTTTGAACTCAACAATTGCTCCATGGGAGAAAGATGAGGCTTTCTGCTTCATCAGAGATTTACAGCCTTGGAAACCCTATACAAGGTCACTGTGAGTTGAAACCAACTCAGCGGCACTTAACAACACCACCATTATTGTGTGAAGAGTTTCTGGCATGTAGGGATATAATCACAGTCCAGATTATTCCAATGCAGTGCTGGACATAAAGGCCTGGAGAATGAGGAAGTCTCAAGGAAGGCTTCTTGGCAGAGATCAAGTCTGGCCTTTGTCTTAGAGATACAATAATTTTGGCCAAATGGAAAAAGAGAGGAAATGTGAAGGAAAATATAGAAGCAAAGGGGCTCTATTTTCACATAGGTGTGGAAAGTGTATATCTTGTGTACATATTCAGAAAATGCACTGGTGCCTTTGTATAGGATCTAATATATCAGTAATGAATTTTTGCTGTATGCTTTTTCCTCTCATTGCTGACAGTTTTGAGTGATTTGTGCCGTTTACTCTAGCCAAGCAAACCTAAGACTCTTGAAAAGGATTCAATCTACGGACAAAACTTGCTGTATGAAAATCCTGCCACCATGGATTCTGAATCACTGCTTTCTGTTCCAAATGGCTCCAACACTGTGTGGTACATTTTTTTGTGGTGCTAATTATGCCTTTCAGAGTCCTGGTTTGATAATGAGGGTTAATGTGCTGGACTACATGGTTGGTTTGAACATCCAGGTTGGCAGTTCAAGCTCACTAGTTGCTCCTTGGAAACCCTATACAAGTTTGCTATGAGTCAGAAATGACTCTACAGCACTTAGCAACAACAATTATGTCTTTGAACACCTGGTGTGGTGCTGTAGGATCAGCATTGGACTGGGATCCACAAGGCCAGCACTTCAAACCTACCAGCAGATCCTCAAACATCCTATACAGGGTTGCTAGGAGTCGGAACCAACTGGACAGCACTTTACAACAACAACAATAACAATTATGTATTTGGATATGTTCTTCCAGAGTAAAAGAACAGAAGAGGGCTGCATAAGCTTCACAGAGTGATACAGAGCGGACAGTTGGGGATCACAAGCTACATAAAAATTTGGAAAACTGAAATGATATACTCCTGCCTTGTTGTTGTTGTTGTTAAGTACCGTGGAGTTGGTGCTGACTCAGGGTTTCCGAAGCTGTAAATCTTTACGGGAGCAAAATGCCTCATCTTTCTCCCACAGAATGGCTGGTAGTTTCGAACTGCTGACCTGGAGGTTAGCAGCCCGATTAGTAACCACTATGCTACCAGAGCTCCTTAGACTCCTGCCTTAAACAATATTTAATTTCCATGTAAAATACAACATTTTGTTCTTACCTTCCCTGTTTTATATCCCACAAATGTCTGTTCCTGCATTTAAAGGGCTCCCTAATTCCCCTTAAGTGATGAGGTAGTCTTACTGGCTAGATAATTTGTGGGGCTTGCAAAATGAAAAAAAAAATTATAAAGAATTTCAATAAGGCAACAGCAGAGCATTAAACCGAGCAATGGGCCCTTGTAAATGTGGAACCCTAGGTGACTACCTAAATTACTGGTCTCTGAAGTTGGCCCTGAAGGTAGTCTTTGTTTAACAGAACTTCCCCTTCACTTAGGTTTTTAGGCATCATGCAGGTGCCTCCTTTTAACTGTGGAAGGTGTTCGGATTTCGCTCAACTCCCAGCCCAGGTTCTGAAGGATTCTTTTGTACTACAGTTTGGAACTACAGTATCAGAAAACTATGCAAATATGGAGGCGCAGATCTTGTAACATGTGGGAAACATTCAGACAAGTTCCTAGATAGCTGAGTCCCAAGGCACAGAGCAAGGTGCTGACAGGCCTTCTGTGAGTTTCTCTTTGAGAACTGAGCCCCCAGCTGAGGGTGTGCAGGTGCTGGAGGCTGTGATTAGCATTGGCCTTTTGCCTAGCCACATGCCTGTAAGTATTTTGCAGCAGGATCATTCCTGTTGTCCTGTCCTTGTTTATGTTACTAATTTAGCTGAGGAGAAAGTCCTTATAAAGCAACATTAGAGCAATCATTCCTCCTGTAAGGTGAAGACCCCTCCAGACAGGTCGGGGTCTATTGTTTCATCTCGAGATGGTGGATATATACAAAACTGCAAATGTAAAGTATGTCAAGAAGCTTCAAGTGTGTACATGCTGCTTACTCTATTAACAAAGTTCTCTGTCTCAACACAATGAATTTTTCAAGACTTAGCTTAGATGTTACCTCTTTTAGAGAGTCATCTCTGAATCCTTCTTCAGCCCTATTCTCACTTCAGTAAATTTTTTGTCTGCATCTAGGGTTTCTGTTAGGTGACTTTGAGTTGGTTCCGTCCCATAGCAACAATGAGCAGCTGGTGAGCTTGAACTGCCGACCTTGCAGTTCAAACTGACTTTGCAGTCCAGCACATTAACCCATAGCACCACACCAGAGATTGTTTTCTGTTGATGTCCTTCTTTGCTTGTTCGTTTGTTTAATACCTGTGTCTGGTATGGTGCTATGAAACTGTTTGTTGAATGAATGCTTTGGTCAATTTCTCAATGTTTGCCACTCCTTTTTCTTAATATTGATTTCTGAACTAAGATAATCAATCCCAGCCATCCCATACATAATGTGAGATTAAGAAGACCAAGCAAAAACATACATCTGACAGTCCATTTCTTCTCCCTTTTCACAATCCACTAGGATGAGTAATTTCTAAATTAGGAAGCGCATAAATTTTTCTTGTGAGTTACCATTTCCATGGATAAGCTTGGACGTATCAGTTTTCAGAGATGAATTTAATTCTTGCTTAGCTATAATCATCAACAAGTGATGCCAGGAAGAGCCAGTCAAGCAAATGATACACAAAGGGCCGCATACAGATGTTTTTTTCCTGAAATCCACCCTAACAATTTACTGAATTCAGGCAACACTGCATTTGTCCTTTCCATGAGACAGAATGGTGAGAAGCAGGGTTCCTAAGTGCATTCTTCACACCAGTGCTGGCCCATGATCATACTTTCATTAATTTTGGAGGGACCATGAAGTGATTTTTCCATAAAATTAAATTCACTTCATTTGAAAGACTATAATTTTAAGTTTTAAAAACATATCATGAGTAATATTGATATTGATCTGTGAAACCCTAAAATAGGAGAACCACAAGCATAAAGGCATGTTTTCCTTCAACTTATTTATATTTTTTGTAAGAAGAGTACTCCTTTTAAGTGTCAACCAATTTTGTAGACCTCCTACATGATAATTGTGATAATCATAGTATCTTTTGATTTGTGGATCAAGGATTTGAGGATTGCTTTAACATTTTGCTGTAGTCTACCAGTGGTTTGCAGTGATAACTTGAAAAACACTAGTGCAGAATATTTTTAAATGATATGAATTCTGGTATAATTCTATCCTCCATTCACCAGGCATATAGCAATAGACAAGTCACTTCATATTTCAAGAGGAATGACGTGACCTCACTGTTTGTTTAAGTGGGTGCTCTGCTGACAACAAAATAGTGGATATGAAGTGCAATGGTAAATGATCAGTT